ATGGTAAACTAACTTCACTGAAATGGGTTATGAAAGAGTGACCCTAGCCACTCAGCCTGGGGACATGAGGGGACCACTGCTCTCCATAGGAGGGCAGGCAGTTATGAGGACTGCATGCAGATGCACCCATTAACTTCTAATGACCCACCGAGAAGACAGACTGCGACCAAGCTCATAAGCTCCAGGTCTGTGAACCTTTCACAGTGCTTGCTAGCATGTAATGGAGGCTGCTCTTGCTTCTGGACTTTATACAAAAGAGTGGTATGTAGACGATCAAATAGAGAGAGTTAAACTTAATTTCAGCCAAAAATTCCAAGAGTTGGAGAAAAACAGGAAGTGTTGTCAACCTTTTTTTCCAAACCCTTACAAAGCATATATATTTTCTTGTAAAATTTAGAGCTTATGTGAAAGCAAAACTGGACCTCCCAGTTTTAGGCAACACAGATGCCGACCTTTACAATCAGAAGGATATTCTTCACCTTAACCTCCAGACTGGGTCATCAAGACATGAGCCCACGAGGTTCTTACATGTCCCTGAAGTCAAATGGGGTGGGAACATGATAATACCTATCAGGATTAGACATCATGTTTCACCATTTCCTGTAAACATTTACCAGTGCAGCAAAAATTTCTGACTTTGTGCCATGACCCCAATTGTTACTGGTTTTCAAAAGCCTAATGGAGATCAATTGAAATGCCAAGACAGCTGCAAAAAAATACCTTGCCCTCAAAAGGAGAGCAAGCTCCACTTCACAGGGTTTCTATCTGTTTACCTTGGCATCTGATATGGACAGGAATCCACAGACGTAAACATGCAGTAAACTACTTAACAGTTTCACAAGTCCCAGCATCACTTTAAAATGTAACTGAGCAAAAAGCTGGTTAAAGCATCACACAGTGATACAAAAGGATTTCATGAGCACCAATTATTTGGTAGCTTTGAATACATATTTGTATTGATCTACAGAATACAGTAAATTTAAAGTTCAGATCATTCTATTTGCCACATGAATTTCCTGATTTTTTATCTTGTAATTCAGTTTAATGTAAGATCTGTGAATGGAAACCTTTTACCTATGTTTTTAGAAATCTTTTAAACACTTTGAGAAATGGCACTAATGCACTTTATGCCTTGCTGAGGCCTACTCTTCAAGCCAGAAATGTCAGGAATCAGTTTTAATGAACTTTAGTACTTTAGAATTCAGTTGTTAATAATATATTTTTTTTGCTATAAGCAATTTCTCTATTTATATTAATATGCTTATATGGAAATACATTGTTTATATAACAATATCCTGGATTTACTGATAGCTTCTAAATTTCTTGCTACAGTCATTTATGCTTTTAAGTTGATGTTAGATTTCCTGAAAATCATAAAAATCATGGAAATTATAGATAAGATGATTAATACTTTAAAAGAAAATTTTTCTTCCATTAGAAACGATTAGTTTAATTAGAGACAAATAGATAACATATTTGATATGGCATGTCCTTTAATTAATACCCTTTGGTTATTTTTTGATTTATGGCTAAATGGCTACATTGTAGAGGTTTTCAACTGAAGTTAAGAAAAACAAAGACATATTCAGAGTTTGCCATCTATTAACAACAGAGCTGCACTCGAAAGGGTAAATAGTACTTAAGCCCCAGTATTGCTTCAGAAACTAAAGAAAACATCGCTTCTAGCTCAGGGACTGGAAAAAAAAAATAAATAAAAAATAATGCTCAGCTCTATTTATACCCAGCACAGCTACACACTATTGTTACAGCCAGAGTAAGAACTAACTTTTTAGAAAAAAACAACCAAACCAAACCAACAAACAAAACCAAACAAAAACAAAACACCACACCAGCAACCAATTCCATTTGCAATCCATTTTAACCTACAGATTCTTTTTCCTCTTTCAGTTTCCTGGCCAGGTATATCGCAGTCTGTACTTATGCACATTTCTCCTTCCTAGCTGCCACATTCTGTAGTTACCTTTATTGGATTTCATCTTGCCAGTCTCAAGTCACCTCTTCAATTTATCACGATCATTTTGAATTCTGAACCTCCCTTCCCAAGTTTGCAGTTGCTGTCAATCTGCACATGCTAGAAGCAGACATTAGAGCATCATTCAAGTTATTAATGAAGATACCACACAGAAGACAACCCTGAGGAGAATCTGGAGGATAGCTAGGGGGAAGGCAACTCCTGTTGAACATTCTTTCATAGTTCACCAGCACACTGAAGTCACTATACAGAGGTGGGAGAGAAATCACCCAAAAGTCAAAACCACAACCAAGCTAATCACAGGTAATTTGCATAAAGTTAGGAGCACCTGTGCAGCTCTCCTGCTCCGGTCTCACCATTGCCTTCTCTGTTTGCCGAACTCCCTGTGTTACCAATGTAATAAAGAGCCCCAGTGTGTGAGGTATGTGTAGGAACCAGGCAAGAAACCAATTCAGCTTAGAAGTGACCTAGCAAGAAAAGTCACCTGGGCCAAGCCCGTAAACTATTTCTCCAAGCATTTCTCCTACATGCTGAACTGGTGCAACTCACTGGCTGTCCAGGCTGATAAAAGTTGTGGCTGATAATGGCTCTTTATTGAACAGAGAACTATCTGGGTGTTAGTAACTGCATTACAGCTATAAACAGAGCTGTAAATCATACGATACTAATTAGCATTTGTTCTTGGTTTTTGTTTTTCTCCATCAGCACTTTCTTCCTGTACTGCACTCGAGGTGTGGTCAATGTTGGAAACCATTAAATGATACTGTAAAAGTCTACAATATGCTTTTTTCAATTCTAACAGAAACCTTAAAATGTTCAGCTGAAGTTTATTCAATTAATTTTAGTTCACAATTTATAAAGATTTTACTATTCATGCAAAGGAAAATGAGAATTAAGATGTAATGTGCTGACATCCACTGTAGTTTTACAGCCTTTTTAATACAGAAGTAATTTTAAAAATAATGGGCTTAAAATAGTAAAAAGAAAAAAAAATAACAAAAAACACCAACAACAAACACCACCACAACAACTAAAACTAATAGTTTTGCTAAATTACCTTTTTATTACATGGTTTCAATTATCATTCCCTCATCCTCCCTCCCAACATGAAGATTGTTCTCTCTTTTCTCTGGAGGGAATTATGAGATGATAGAAGTACAGAATAGACTTCAACCAAATGTTGGAACCTCAATTGAAAACACAAGTATAAGACATTCCCAGAATGATTTGTTGCAGCAAATTCTATAAAAGTTAACAGTTCTTAAAGACTTATATAACTTATGAAGCATGTTTCTTGCATATGGTAATAGTGATTATTCTACTAAACTCATCAGTTACTACATTTAATATGCACTAAGCTAAAAATTACAAACAATAAAATGCTTTCAACCTGAATGTGGTTTTTGATTTCTTTGAAGTCATTAGAAAGCTTCCGTGGTTTTAGTTAAGGTATTATGCTGTAGCATGAGGAAAATGTTATACTACAGGTGCAGAGAAGATCTAATCCATATGTTGTAAGGTTACATATGGGTATAAACAACAGATTAATCCTCAGTTCCCTTTAACTTTGGCACTTACAGGTCAGAAGAAGAATGGCCTAATTCTGAAATGATATGGTATTGTCAGCACCTTTTATTTCATGTACAGAAGGTTTTGTGACACAGACCCTAATTGATTATAATTTCATCATCATTTAGTAAACTAAAGATCTCAAAATAAGTAGAAATGCCCATATGGAGAGAAAGAAAAGAGGTCACAAATTAGAGGCAAGCCCAGTACCATAAAAAACACTCGGCCTTGTCTACTACTGTAATAACACTGGGTAGACCAACCACAACTAAATTTAAGTTAGGTATTTGAGTCAGGTATTCAGATATACATATGAACAGTATCACAGAGCTCAGACTCACAGCCTATTCAAAGAATGCTGTGAATACCTGAGATCAAATTGCAGCATGTTCTAATAAGACCAAATGTAATACGTGCTTGGGTACAGAAGGTATTAATTCTCTTCCCTGACTTAATGAGCAAAGCTTTTAATGCTCAAGGTGCTGTAGGAAAAGTCTGTATTTAGAAATTCCAAATAACTTTTCAGTATTTTTTAAATTATAATTCACCTCTTTAGGAATAAATATTTTACACTAATAAAATCAGTCCTATTTCCAAAGAGAGTGTATCATAAGCACACTGCTACATAAAAATGTGGAGCTTCAGTATTTCACAAAAAAAAAATTTGTTTGTTGCTTCTTGTTCAGTTTTCTCTCTTAAACAAAAAAGGACAGCTACGCAAAAGAGTACTCAGCAAAGTAGGTTTGTGACTACTATATGCAAAACAGAAAACTAATTCCCAAAGTCAGCTTGGCAAGGGACTTAATCCATGTAACTATTAAACATGTGTTTTGTTCTGTTCTGGTTTCTGTGTTTTAAAGAAAATTAGGACAAATATCTTAAAGCTTTCTTTGGAGAATATTGCATTTAGCTATCAAGAATATATATCGTTCACACTATCCTCATATTTTATTCTCTATTATGCCACTATTTACAAAGTACACTAGTCGGTTACAAAAATACCACGAGGCTACAGTAGATCTGTGTTAAGGCTCTCTACCCGATACCAGATTCATCAACCTGAATCTGCTGGACATATCTATCATAGACACAGGTTCAATTACTTTGTTTAGCATATAAAACCGAAGCTAATGATAAATATATATAATATTTTTAAATAATTTTTGTTTAGTAACTGCATAGAATAGAATAGAAATCTATTGAGAGAGTTGCAGAAACCTGCAGAGACCATTTTGATGCAGTGCTTATTAGGTATGTACAAACACACATCAATGGAAGTCAGTGCATCTTCTTACTAACATAGCAGTTTTACAGTTGTTTGCTGTGTATCTAAAAGCAGTGAATTTACACACCTGCATGAAATAATGGATAAACACAATTTAAAGCCAGAACCAAATACAGACATTCATTCACATGAGATATAAATAGCAGTAAACACCTTGGATTTGAAGAGTCTTGAGCTTTGCAAACTTTATCTGAGTTTCATCAGGAAAAAACAAAGTTCTTACATCTGGAAAAAAAGAACACTATTAAAAGCACATATGTTATTAACACTGAATTTCATCCTTTCTAACAATACAATCTTCTATTTACTGCTACGTGGAAGAAAAGCGATCACTGATGTAACAGTTCTAATAAAGATTAACAAGCAACAAAAGTTCAAAAGGGCTTCTGTAAGTTCCTACACGTAAGTGCGAGCACTGTCTGCATATAACATTGTCTTCACACATTTTACAGTTACGACTGTCTCTAGGTTGCAGTTTGAAGCGCAGGAATATTATGTGCAGGAGCCTGCATTCTCCAAGGTATGATAGCAAAGGTGCAGCACCGTGTCAGTACCCACCTCCTCTGAATGACAGCTGGGAATCATTGTAACTAAGACTCCCTGTGACAAGTCATCGCAACGCGGAGCCAATACCTCCAACTTAGCTCAGTACTAGCTCTGTTGTGTCTGAGTCAGGTACGCTGTAAAATTTCAATGATGCCTTTAAATTCTAATGGTTTCAAGCTGCTGTAAACTTCTGCAGCAATCAAAAATAATCTGTCATGGGACTAAGGGGTATGAACATCATGTCATAGCCACTCTGCTGTTAGATTTATTGGAGGGTAAAGCATGTCATTTATGCATCAACTCACAGGAGAAAAAAGCAATCCCTATGAAGTTAATCTAATAATAGACTGGAAAGCAATGATTACTGTTTCATGTGCAGTAGCTATTTGTAGCAGTGGTTGGCCTAATTCAGCAGGCCTTGCCTGTCAGAGCTCTGGGATTAGCAAGTGTTTAGATGAAAATCTATCGGGAAACATCAAGAAATGGTTTAATGAGGAACAAAAGTCTTTATTGTTACATTTAATATTTGCTGAAACTTTTCCATTTGTACCACCACATTTTTAAAAAGCTTACTGGAACTGACATCCTAAATAGAATGCAAATGTTGATGGGCTGTAATTATAATTAATCTACAATAGTTCACCACAATTTCAACATAAAAGTCTGCTCTCACTATTTCCATGAGGGCAGAATGCCCTGAAATTGAGTGCAAGATTGCTTAAAGACACAAGTAATAATCATGGCCTTACTGAAGTATATATATTTTCCATCAACAAAATAATTCGTAGATCTTGGCTGATCAACCTCCTGCCCTCCATATGATACAAGCCAACTGTTGGCATCATCTTAGAGGAGGGGAAGTAAGAAGTAAATCATCACATGCAGCAAAATGGTACAATGGAGACTGGATGTCGGAAGGCCCTGAGTTAGTCCCCAGACCATTCTCATGCCAGGAACCATGCACCTCCCACTAGAGGTGCCTTAAGCAACTCTCAGTTCTTAAAATGATTTAAACAAACAAACAAACAAAAAAGTCAAATTCCTTAATTAGGTTCAAATTCTAATGTTTAAGAGCCCTGGGAAAGATGTTGCCTTTTATCTTCCTTCACTCACTAAGCAAAATTAAGACTAAGCTTGGGAAGATATTTATATAACCTTTTGCTCATAGATATTATTCGCTGTAAATCAGAAATAATTACTCAAACTAAGAAGCAACACATTCCTAGCAAAAGGAGAAAGCAGAAGCTAACCTGATTAATATATACATTACATAGCTAATTCTCACAAATAAAATTCTTAACAATGAATGAAGGAAATTATACATGGAAAAAAGAATTCTCTAAATATAGGGGAAAAAACACCCCATATGTACTTCCATGTGTGTCTGAGAGACAAATGGTAGTGGGAGGCAGTGGTAACACAAGGAAACTTTTAGGCATCCACAGGTCCTTCTTTTCGAAGACATGCAGTCATTTCTACTCCCTCTACTAGAAAAAGACCTTATCAGCAGAACCCTCCTTCAGATAACCATCAGCAGCTACAAAAGATCTAGATTAAAACTGTTACCATAGCCTAGCTGTCCCCTTCTCACGCGATGCTACATAAAAGAGGAAATACTGTGGACTGGAAAATCGGAACATGCATCGAATCCCTGCTCTATCCTTCACACTTCACTTCCATGCTCTGTCCGTGTCCAGCCACCAGCATCAGCCACTGCAGACTACCAGTCTTGACCATTGATTTATGAGAAAGCAACCTCTTCAATTCTATGAAATCAAATATAAAAACTGCATACAGTTGCAGAAAAAAAAATGTGGCTGAAGCAACTTTATTTTTTCTGAGCACATTCTGAAAGAGATGCCTGTAGCCCCGTAGCTGATACTTGTGAAAAATGCTTTCACCAAGCTATTGATTGCAATTGAATGGCATCCCACAAAATCCACTGCAAAATTGCCACTTGTTATTTCACAGGAGAGGAATAGACAGAGAATTTGGTGATCCAGAAGATACAAACATGGGAGTTATATCACTGGCTGTCATCTAGCAAAAATTCCTGTGTGGCATGTGAGTGATAACAGTACATGTCACAGTTCACCCATGCTTTTAAAGACCAGTATGACCTTCTTGGGCTGGAAAACAGGGAAACAAACAAAACTAGCTAGCAGATCTATTAACGAAGTGGCTAATCACTTTAGCATTTCAAAATACACAGGTAGCAAATCTCAAAACTAAGTAATAATTTACTATCCAGTAAACCACTTCTATCTTATTATTTTTATTGTATCAGCACAGAAAGTCTTGAGAGCTACTACACAAATGCACATTTTGACCATGAGCATTGCTCGATGCCCATGTCTTTTATGATGACAACACAAATTGTCCTCATCTCCTTCTGGTCACAAGCCAAATACACTTCCCGCCTACCCATTAGATTCCAAGGTTTGCTGTTGCCAGTGCAGAAGTCAGACCAGAGAATAAATTCCAAAGCAGAACAGGGACATTCAAGGAAAACTGGCCAGCACAGCCCTTCCATACACAGATATTGCATGCAACCATGGGTTGGGGTTTGGGGGTTTCTGTCAGAAACCCTGAATGTGCTAAGTCCAGCTGCTCTAGTACCCACCACATCTAAGGTCAAACACAAAAGCTGCCTAACCTGCTCTCTGCCCATTATTTGTTGAATTCCTGCACTTGATCCCTGGCAGCCATCTTTTGGATCCTGAGAGTTTTGTTGAACTTTCAGGGGTAAGATTTATCTCTCTCATCCAAACCTTTCCTAATCCTCCTCTTTTTGCAGATGGCACAGACACTGCAGGCATGAGCACAGGAAACCTACCAGAAGTGCTCCTATGATTTATTGCTTCAGATTTCTATCTCTTTTGTATCACTCCTTCTCTTTATTGCCTGGAAATAAACACTAACTTGAAAGGAAAAGAAAAATGGTCACAGAACAGTTTCTAGGATGCTCTGCTTTTCAAATAAGAAGCACATTGCAGAGGATTTTGGTGTGGGCCATGATACTGAAATGGCTCAGCTAATTGAGGGCAACCTCAAGGTCAACACAAATTGTAGTGTAGACATAAAAGTCAAGGACAAAAAAATAAAGAGGAAAGGCAGAGTAATATGATGCAATGAAAAATGGAGATCAAGAAAGACACATCAGAAAAGGAAGGACATGGTCATATCAATGAGCAAAAAATCTGTTCTTGGGGTATTTTCCTATGCACAATGTACACTGAAGACATTCCATCAAAGAATACAAATTCTGAACAGGATTAGGACTCAGACAATATATAGGATTAATAAGCTACTAGGAAGAAATATTACCTGTAACTAAAAATGGTAATGAAGAAGCTCCAAAACAGGAAGGCAAAAACAACTTTGGTTCATTTCCATTTTGGTTTTAAGGTTTAAAAAGGAGATTCGGATGACAAGTGTTCAACAACCTAACCAGCTGCAAATACAAAGTAGTTTTCTGAAGCCTTATACAGACTAAGCTAATACATTTCAGAAAAAAAAATAAAAATAAATTAAAAAAAAAAAAGAGAGATCAATATATCCATATGTCATATGAGACTACACAGAACACTTCTGTGCTAGGAAATACCAAAACCACTATCTAAATGGCAAAGCCCTCTGAATTGCCATTGAAAGATGGCATGGCTTTCTGGGTCAGCTAAATTTGAATAATAGGGTGTTCTTAGCCCAAATAACCTATTGACTTCCATATATAACAAAATAGAGAGACTCTTTCAAGTGTCTCCTAGATTTAGCAGCTGTTGGTCTGACATTGTCAGCAATGCATCCATCTTAATCACCGTATGATCCTTTCAACTTTTCTTTTTGAGGCTCTGCTTACTTCCTTCCACCCTTAAGTCCCCTCATCTGCCCAAAACATACATCAGCTCAAAGCACTGGATGAATATGAGTTAAAACAATGCATGTGGTTTCTGCTGAACCATCTCTTTGTTTTAGCACATTTTCTGTATGTGTTTGTGTATAAATATGCATCTATGCATGTATTTTTAAACTTATGGACAAAGGAAACCTGTATTTATCTCCTGCTTTACAGGAGATGCCTTCTGGTTACTTCTGTTCTTCTGTTCTGACACAGTCTGCCGTAGGAACTCCCCTCTAACTTCCCTTGCCCATCACCATGGGCATTTAACTTTTTATTCTCATTATTCTTTTTGATTTTTCTTTGCTTGAAATACAAGACTCCATATGTCTTGCTCTTCTTTAATTGGAAGATGTTAATGCTGTGTACCAGAGGGCACAGTCAAATGAGAGATTGCCATTTGGACAAAATTACATACACGGATATCGCCTAGGGTATATCACCTGTATGAGCACTTGAAGCAGATCACAGCTTTCTTTCTTGCAGAATTTGAGGCAATATTTTAATGCTGTAAACAACATTCAATGTTTTTGAATTGTCCGGTTAAGCTTCTTCAAATTACATGATTCTTAATGGCCCACAATTCACAGTATATGTTGCTAGTTCTTAAAAATGAACCACCTGAATTATAAAAGAAACCTCAGCTATAAGCACTTTTAGTTAATTTTACATCACATTAAACTCTTCTCCAAATTTGAGTCTCATCTGAAAAAGTGAAATATTCCTTTTAAGTCTATGGGTCATAACAGAGTTGGGAGTTCCTTAAAAGGAGAGCAGTCCT